GGTACGCTAACAGGCGAACTCCTTTCTCCCTGAGAGGAGATAGCGCTGCTTTGACACATTTCGAAAAGGTGCAGGGTGCCAGCGACAGACCGAATGGCAGCACCAGGTATTCGTAGGCTACGCCTTCGAACGCAAACCTCAGAAAGTTCCTGGGGTCCAGGTGAATCGCTACATGGATGTAAGCGTCTGTTAAATCGATGTCCGCAAACCAGTCGCCCGGGCTGACCGAATGCAGAAGCTGCCTGAGTGTTAGTATTTTGAACCTGTATGTTCGTAGAAACTTGTTTAACTCTCTCAGGTCTAAAATCGGACTGAGGCCGTCGTCTTTTTTCAGAACGACAAAATAACGGCTGTACCAACCTTTGTTTATGTCCAAAGAGGGGACCACACGTATGGCTCCATTCGCCAGTAGCGTGTTTATTTCCTCTCTCAAAACCATGGCTGCTTTGTTTCCAACAACAGTGTTTAACATGGTGTTGAAACGGGGCAGCCATATGCAGAACTGTAGTCTGTAACCCATTGTGACAGTTCTCTCTACCCAAGGGGATGGTGTGCATGCGCGCCAGAGAGTCGCGCCGCTAGGCGACCGACTTGTGATAGCGAAGTCCTGCTGCCCTCTGTCACATGAGAGAGGTGCAGCATTATATGACTGTTGCTCACAACTTTTCTGATATTTTTGATTTTTTGTGTGTGAAGTGTTTCCTTTATTGACACATTCAACAAGTTTACACAACCATTTTGTACATTTACATTTTGAACATTTAGCACACCCAAACTGGGGGCTTTTGGTACAAACAGTGTGTGTGTGGGGTGGGACTGGTGCTTGGGAGACTGTGTTATAGAAACGCAGCGCCTCTTGGGGCTGGTTTCCTGAACAGTACAAATAAAATGCCTCTTGGGCGGCAGCCGAAAACTGGCAAACATGTCTCCCTGGTCCCGAAGTCCCTGCAGTGACAGTCCCACAGTTAGGAGGATTGAGTCTTCTTCCTCCGAGGTGCCGCGCCTTTCTGAAGACCCGAAGGGGGGCCCTTGCTCCAAGCTGACTGGTGGTGGGGGGGGTGGGGGGTGGCCGTGGTTATGAGGCTGCAGTGGCTGAGTGCCTAAGCTCCCGGGCAGCACCTTTCTCTTCACTGGAGGCAGCTGTGCGGCCGGCTTCTGTGTGCTGGTCTTGGGTCTCGAGTCCCGTCTGGGGATAATGCAGCGCAGAGCTTCTGCCTGCTTCTTCCTCAGCTCAAACTTCACCTGAATAACGTCGAGAGACTGACCGAATAACCCAGCCACCATAACTGGTTCATCCAGGTATGTGGCCCGGTCTCTGTCGGGGACATCAGAGAGTGTCAACCACAAAAGTCTCTGCGCCACCACGGTTGAAGCCATCCCTCTGCCCAGGGAGAGCGCTATGCTGCGGGACGCAGGGATGATGTAGTCCACTGTGATTCTGATCTCATTAAAGAGAGGCAGCAGAGGACTCTTGGCCGGTACCTGGGCTCCGAGCTCTGCCAGAGCCATAGCCTGGTAAGTCTGGAGCATGCTGATGGAGCTCAGGCCTGAGCCTTGTAAATTTTTTCAAGCTGCGCAGCAGAAAATCTACAGGGCTTGGAAGGGAGTGTGGTGGGCCCGCTCACACCATGGTTGTGAGACRGGGCCAAATACGCTGCCAGGGACGGCTCCATGGGAGGGATGTTCACCAGTCCAGTTTTTTCAGTTCCTTCCAAATCCAAATACGGTCCATAACTGGGCACTGTGACGTGGGTGGACAGAGGTTTGGTCCAGCAGGACGTCAGCTCCGAGACGAAGTCTGGGAACATTGGAAGGCGGTTTTTCACCGCGGTCGGTTCAGCGGGGAGAAAAAATCCAGCGAACCACGACGGTTTTTGTGCAGGAGGGTGAGCAGGCCATTCCACATCCAGTTTCTGAGCCACGCGACGACACAAAGAGAGAAAAGACGTATCCTCCTGGTTTGCCCCTGCAGCAGCGGGGGCTTCTGGACTTAGACCAAGTTCATCGTCATCTTCCGACAGACCATGCACATCCAGGCCGATATCCAGCACGTCCTCCCCTCCGTGGTGGAGGCCCAGATGAAACTGGGAAGCTCCTCCTCTTCGTCGGCTAACCCCTCCATATATTCCACTTGGTCTGCCCAGCTGGAAGTGGGGACTTCGACCAAGGGCTCCTCCTCGTCAGACTCAGACGGAACCGGGTTACTAGACTCGGAGAGGAGAGGGTCCTGCCGCGCAACTGCATCCTCGCCCAACACTTTCTCCAAGAACTTAACCTGTCTCTCCAGGGTTGAGCGTCGAAGCAGGTGGCAAAACACACACGCTTCAGGCTCTGCCAACGCCCTACGAGCGTGGACGATCCCCAAACAGACCGGGCAAGCCTCGTGCTGGTCCTTTTCGTGAAGCGAGAAGCCGCACCCCTGGGGAMAGGGGCGAACTGAAGACTTCTGCTTCTTCTTGAGTAATTTTGTGCTCATCCCGAACCACAAAATTCTCTCTTTCGTCGAGGTAAGAAAGGTTTCTCAAAGTTAGCGCTCTGCGGGCAGACATAGTTACCAGTAGGCAGCTGCAGCTGACACCAACAAAAGCCATTAAACTAAATCCGAGAACCTTCGAACAAACAAAGCTAATTAGCAGCAGCTAACTAGCTAGGTTGGAAGAGGTGGGTGTTCTTGCGAGGTGAAGAGCAATAGAACAAAGGAGTGACTGTGATGGTGACAGTATATATATATGCAGGTGGGGCCTGACATCTGTCGTCATCATGTCACCTGCCTAAAGGCGTGATTAGAGGTGGCTTCAGCCAGGACACGCTGGGGCGTGGTTTCCATACATGATGTTGTACCGAGTGAATTGACTGAAAGGGAGCCAGTAATAACATCCATTTAATGGACTGATAACATCCGAACTGGCTGCTCAGGTGCAGACCTACATCCAGTGATTACATTCTGAATGTTGCAATAAATATTGTTAATATCACTTTTTATCAGATATTTTGCTAACACACAAACAGCGTTGCAATTGTCTCAGAATTTGTAAAAAAATAATTAGAAAAGAATGAGTTACAGACATTTTTGTGTTTTCCTTCAGCAGAATTGACTCCAAAAGATGATCAGTTGTAGAGGTGCATCCAATAATTACTAATAATTACAGTCTTTGCAGTGACTCATGAGAAATTTTGCTAACAGACAAACACGCACACATTACGTCACACTGTAATGCTTTAGACAACTTATGCTGACTTGTCAAAATTTTATCATGAAGAAACTGCTCACATAATTTATATATTTATATTATGCATATGTCCAAAAAATGATTTTAATTGATTTTTTTCATTCAATTTTCGACAGACATTCTCAGAACAGGACAGAATTTTTATTAGCTGGCAAAGTTTGTCTAAAATGTCACAGACAGGACCTTCAATTTAAGCTACCTTTATAAAGGATTCATTAGTGTGTGTTAAATAAATCATTTATATTGTATATAACACTGGTTAAACATAAACCCAATCGGAAAGTTCAATCTGTACTGAGTTTATATGTTGTTATTTGGCTAGTACTGTATATTTCAAGATAAGTTTTGTTTAAATGCATGTATAGCTGCAGATAAAATGTTTAACATCTGAATTCTGAAGAGTGCAGATTAACCGAGGGAATTAGGATCAGTTTTAGATAATTTCAACATAATTTTTATGAATTAATAACTATTCATTTGTCAGTTCTAAAGGTACCACTCTTCTGATGACTTACAGTAATACAAACAAACAAACAAACAAACAAACAAACAAACAAACAAACAAACAAACAAACAAACAAACAAACAAACAAACAAACAAACAAAGAAATCTGTTCTTCCTTCAGCAGAGCAAAGGGTGATCTGTGTCTGTATAATTTCAGCACCATGGACAGCTCTCAGGATGCTTCTCTTCAAAAACTCATTTATTTGCTTCCCCCATAACGAGACCCCCACTCCCCCCACGCGCTTTAATGCTGACTTAACGCTTATAAATCTTGCTAATAGAGCACAAAATATTGATTCCTATGAAGGTCATCTCGACCGCAATTAATAATTGCGCAATATTCAAAAGCCCGGAGTGAACCGCTCACATTGATCATCGGAGCCTGAACTGTGTGTTCAGCAGCAGGGGCTCGTGGACAGATGCGACATGTGGAGGAAGCTGAAGGAGTGACGCTCTCATGTGAGCAATCACGAGCCCCCTTCCCCTCCCTCCTCTCCCTAAGTGCCCCCACCGCTTTCTTTTATCTTTTTTTTTTCGCTCCGCAGGTTTCAAAGTAAAGGTCGAAGACTCTTTCGAAGCTAGATGGCAGAAGAGCCACACTGCAGCCGCGCTGCGCCCTCCGCCCGCTCCCTGCTCTCTCTCTCTCTCTCTCTCTCTCTCTCTCTCTCTCTCTCTCTCTCTCTCTCTCTCTCTCTCTCTCTCTCTCTCTCTCTCTCTCTCTCTCTCTCTCTCTGCGCCGTCATCGCCTCCCATCTTTGCATTGCAAATCTCCCAGCCCCATCACTCCCAATAAGGGCTCCGCTCCATCTCTAAAATGAAAATCAGAGTTCTGGTGGGATTGGGCAACGACGGGGGTGGGGGTGCCATTTCTGTGAGAGTGTCACCCCCCTTATCCTCCTCCTCTTCACCTTACCTCCCCATCTTTGCTCTCCTTGTGACACGTGAACCACATGGAATGAATTAGCAGATTTCATTTCATTCCCAGAAACCCCCCCACCCCGTCCTCGCCCGCACCTCACTGTTCCCACTTTATGATTTGTCACACATACACACACCAGCCAACTCATACTTGCACAGGACGCTCTCTCTCTCTTTCTCTATCCCCCCTCTCTCTCCCTCCTCCCCCATCTCTCCCTCTCTTTTTCGCTCTCTCACTCTCCACCTGGTTCGATAGCTGATCGATTCAGATACAGCCTCAGATTAGAAGCTGGTCTCTTCTCCGTTGCTCAGCTGCTTTGCGGGGAATTTAAAATCATCATTATTATTTTTTAAAGGGGGGAAAGGAAAAGAAAAGAAGGAAAAGGAGCAGTGGTGAGGGGGTGCCTGTGTGGAAAAAGAGATGTTGGCGCGCGCCCGCGGGGATCCTCACACTTGATGCCCCTCTCAGCAGAGATGGTTGAGCCCTCGTCCAGGTCGCTCCTGTGGTCCTCTCATCAAACCCAGTCTCGCTCACTTCTCCTCCTCTCCCATCAGCTGACACCGCGCGGCGGGGCGGCTCGGCTCCTCTGTCTGCTTCTCCTCTGAGAACACCGCTCCAAAACCTCCTCCACCACCTTCCTCCCCGCCCCTCCCTCCCTTCCTTCCCTTCCCCTCCACCCCTCAGTCAGACAGAACCCCGACCCCAAAAAGGGGAGAGAGAAAAAAAAAAAAAAGCTCCGGCTGTTGAAGCTGCTGCTGAGAGCACGATGAAGGGGATTTTATCAAACGGGGACGGACGCTACGACGGATCGGTGGAGCTGCGGGACGTCTTCAACAGGAGATGCGTTAAATGCGGCCGCGGGGACTTAGTTCAAGGCAGAACCATGCGGATTAGGACGGGGATGGTTTTCTGGAATCTCTTCTTTTCACTGATGTTCACTTGTGTGAAAGGTAACGAGCCACTGCAGCAATCTTGCGCGTTTATTTAACGCTGCGCCTCAATATGTGTATATATATTTATGTATGCATATATACGTGTGCGTGTGTGTGTGTGTGTGTGTGTGTGTGTGTGTGTGTGTGTGTGTGTGTGTGTGTGNGTGTGTGTGTGTGTGTGTGTGTGTGTGTGTGTGTGTGTGTGATGCAAAGCTTTAATGTTACAGACAAATAAGGCAACCACTTTTCATCTTCAGAAAAAAAGGGGCGCATTTCTGGGGGTCTTTGCGCTCAATGCGGGCTTTGACTGAGTCGCTCAATAGAGCTTCTTGCGGTAGCCTCCTTCTTCTCCTTCTTCTCCTTAATAGCCTACGTGAGCTGCTTTGCTTAGTAGGCTAACTAGTGGATTGTTGAGGCGCAAGTGCACACACTGCAGATTCCTTCTGAGATGTTGGAGGGGCTGAATCTGACTGATTGGGAATAAAATAATAATAATAAAAAAAACAAGCATCTGCGTGTTTAAAAGTGTGTGTGGTTTGTGCGTCAGAACCAGTTTGGTGATTGGTGGTTGTGGGACTTGCAGGTGTGAGCAGGTGGAAGGTGGGCTGCTTGTTATTCACTCAGGGTCTGAGTCCTTGATCTGGCTGCTCACGTGACCGCTGATTCTCCTGTTGTATTATTCAAATGTGTATTTAAACTTCTTCAAATGTTCCCTGAAGTAAGTCTTGTTCTGGAGTTTTATAAACTCTGTAGGAGAAAACACAAAGACCTGACTCTCCAGCCTGCCTTACTGCCGACTCTTCTTGTTCTCTGAAGCTAGAACTCTTCTCCAGATCAGCAATCGTTGCTTTTTTCAACTACATTGTAATTATTAAATGTCACAGCAAAACCCCTATAACACTAAGGAATAATGTCCTTGTTTTACCAACATGTGTGAAATTCTCTTTCCTGAAACATTTCTTGAAAGAATGCATATCACTTGCTGCCTTTTCTGTCAGAGTTATAAACTGAAATTTTATGCTGAGTTAAAAGCTGTTCTGGTAAAACTTTGAAAATATGCATCAGCTCCACTCAAAAGTGTGACGTCATACATGTTAGACCATGAGAGCATGTTTTGGGTTTGACTCCCAGCTACTGTTGCACCTAATTTTAACTCAATAGTTGCGAAATTGACAGAGTGGTCGTTTCCGTGTTGGAAGTCATTTTAAACTGTGGTGTCTCCAATCTGTTTTAATTATATATTCAATGATTACTGATTTCTGAGAGATTCATTAAAACCTGTCAAGTGGTTTGTGACATATTTTGCTAACAGACAGTGTTGATTCCAATTAGTAATGCCCGAGTTTGAAACAAAATCTTGTGCGAGCTGTTAGAGCTCCGAGTATGTGTTAGAGATGACTGTCAACCATTAGAACTACAATGACCATTAATGGCTATTATCTGTGGCAAATATTTTGATCAGAGATTAATCCATTAGGTAATCAGTCATAGATGGTTATCCAATAATTATTTTCCAAAAGTTGTACACTGTATTTACACTTATTAATTTTTTAATTGTTTTATTTTACAATTTTGTTAAAACTCAGTTCTCTGGTTCATGAGATTATTTTAAAGTTGGACAGAATCAGTTTAGACTCAATTTATGAGTTGGAGTCTGTCAAACTGATGGAGTTATCTTTGTAATAGTTAAATATGACTGTGGCAGCCATGTTGAATCAAGTTGACTTCAAAAGTTAATCAGGTATTGATTGGCATCTAATGATTATTTTCTGAGAGTTTTGTTAAAATCCATCCATCGGTTCATGAGGTACAGACAGACAAACATGTAGACACATGTAACAACATCATCACCCACTTGTCACCTGTCAGAGCTGGGTGATAAAGTTTAGTCACAGTCTCTAAAGGTGAACATGTGAACACGTGTGTGCTTGTTAGACACAGCTTCTTACCCGTCGAATGCATGGATGTATCTCCGAGTTCGAGCACATATATCAAGTTTAAATGCAGATTCTGCCTCCTCTTCTTGTGAGTAATTCTCGTGTCTGTCCGTTGGGGGTGGATGTGCAGCATAAAACAGAGAGAAGGAGCCAAGTTGACTCGACGCTGTTTCATCACCACCCACACTGAGGCAATGTCAAACCTCCAGGCCACTGCCAATCCTCCCAGTTCTCTTAATTATTAGGGAGGCAGCCAGCCGGGAAGTGGGGAGGGAAGAGGGTGGGAGAAATGATGGAGGAGGAGGAAAAGGAAAAGGAGGCGACAATCCCCACTTTTCTTTTTTGAAAAGGAGAGGGGGAAAGAACCGCTGAACAGTTGTTGTTCCACCGCTCAGACAGTTGACAATGTTTGCAGAGAAAAAAAAGTACCAACCAGATCTGGACTGTGACTCACTTTTCCTGCAAAGATAATGATGCCAGAAAAAATATAGATTCCTTGGGAGGAGTTTTCCACCACAACATCTTTTTTTTTTCAATTACACTGAGCCACATGCACAGTTTTACCAACTTTTCACCAACCCCTGACATCAGTTGTAGCCATTTTGGTAAAGACGTATAACAACTTTGTGCATGATCTCATGTAATCTGTTAGCACTCGGAGGATGTGTTGGTGATGACTCGCACCAAATTTTAGCCTCACAATCTGTCAAAGTGACCGAGGTACAGCGACTTTCATGTTGGCTGATCGCTTACGCTCACAGCCATCTTGGATTGGATTGACTTCAAAAGTTAATCAGCTGCAGATGTTCAAGCAATGATTACTTTCTGAGAGTTTTATTTAATTTTTTTTTCAGTGATTTATGAAATATTGTGCTTCTGATTCAGTTCTCTCCCTCTCACTCACTCACACACACACACACACACACACACAC